CGGTTTGTGCGTTAAGTTTCCGATAGTCGATGCATAACCGTAGATCTTTGTTCTTCTTCCGGACGAAGAGAACAGGGGCACCGAATGGCGAGCAACTAGAGCGAATCCAGCCCTTCTCGAGAAGGTCATCGAGTTGTGCGCGAAGCACCTCGAGTTCCTCTTCGCTCATGCGGTAGATACATCCACGCGGAGGGACGGTGCCAGCCTCGAGAGTGATCCCGTGGCGTATGGGCCGATCCGGAACCGTTCCGGTGGGAGCCTCGAAGACGTCTCTATACTCGTCCAAGAGGTGAGAAATGCGTGGGTCCGGCGGTGACGCAGCTGGTCCGATCGGCGAGGGGAGAGCATGCAAGAATACAAGGCCCATCTCCTCGACGTCATTCCGAGCAATGGCGTCACAAATTCTCGCAACGGAAACCACGTGACAAGCAATCGAAGTTTGAGGGGTCGCGACCGTACATGGGACTAACACTCAGTTCCGATCACGGATGTGAACGGTTCGGTCATGGAAGTTCACCGGATGATCGGCGCTACGCAACCAAGACATGCCTAGAATCATGTCGAACTTGGTGTCGAGGATGTCAAAAGACACCGGCTCGCACGCAAGTGGCGCAAAGCAGACCGGAACGCCGTCGACGCATCGGTCAATTGACTTTTGCGTGCGGCCGCTCGCGAGTGTAACTTGCGTAGGTTGCGTCTTTCTTCGAACGCGCAGGCCAAGACCTGCGCGGGCCATAAAGGCTTGACTTATGAAGTTGCGAGACGCTCCGCAATCAATTAAGGCACTACAGGTTGCCTTTCCGATTTGAATGCGGATATAGAGCAAAGGTGCGTCGGTTTCAGCGTACCTTTGGGTGGCGTGCTCGCGGTCGATCTTCGCAAGATAGGAGCGGAGATCGACAACCGCTACCCCGTCGTCCGTCAACGGAGCTGGTACTATAGTGTGCAAATAGGAGCGTAGATTTGCCATCAAGGCGTTGCAATGCGGCCTTGGCAAGGTTCCGGTCGAGGGTAGAGGCATCCTGGCAAAGTCCTCTCTCGTGAGCGGGTCAAGCTCCTCAAGTCTTGACCACGCCGTCGAGTCCTCGGAAATCAGTGGCGAACTGACCGGATCACTTGCCAACGGTGTACAGGTTGAGCATACGCTAGCTAAGTGCACGTGGCTTGGCTGGTCTAATGGTGGTACCAGCTGGGCGGCATAATCCTCGTACGTAGCACGAGGATCAGCGACTACCGCATGCTCCCCGGTAGTGACATCGATTGCTAGCAAGGCAACCGGGTCCGGCGGAGTGAGGAGAGACTTCGCCCCTCTCCTTGCGTAACTCAGTTTCCCGAGTTGGCTGGACGGGGTACGCATGCCTTGCCCTTGTCCGAACATTGTGCGGTAGTGTGTACTACACTGTTGCACCATAGGCAGTATGCATACTTTTGACGAAGGTCATAGACCTCCTTGGTGATCTTATAAGCCGTCCATGGCTGCTGCCCAGCTCCCGTCGCCGTTGTCCCTTGTGTCGCCTTGTTCTTGCGAACTCTCTGCGGAAGCTTTGGCGGAAGCGCTGCGACCATTCCTCCATCACTCGAGGATGCTGCCGCAGCGTGGTGGTCGTCGATTTCCTCAGAAAACACGGCATTGTTATGTGTCGGACGTTGATAGGCCTGTTTAGCCACATAATGCGGCTGGGATTGCCTCTCGTTAGCGGCCTTGTCGTCCGTTTGGATGACTAAGTTCGTTCTATCCAGAATGGCCTGGAACGTAGTATAGTCGTACTCTTTGCCGAGTGCCGACCGCAATCCTGCGCACGATCTCAAGAAGAACTCGGATCGTTGATTAAGGAACGTCAAGTCGAAGCCTGGCGTGGTCACTATCTTCTGCCATTTTGATGCCCAGTCTCGCATTGGCATGTTCCCTTGAGAGCATGTGTAGACC